CTGGGCCATAGTGTCCAGTGAGGATATGTGGGGTTTGTGTTTATCTAATTAATCCTGAACAGCGTTATTGCTGCTTTGGCTGAAGGCATCAGCGGAAGTCCAGGGGAATATTCCAATGGTGCCTGGTGTAAGCACGAGCTGCTGAACAGGCCAGCTAGCAGAGGAAGAATGGAGGTATGCCAATGCGTTTCTAGATATTTAATACAGGCAGTTCTCCTTCCTCTTCCCTCCTCAGTCACTGCCGTAGCTCACGTTGCAGCAGCAGTGAGTCTATTAGAGCACAAATAAGCCTGTCCTCTCCCTCGTCTCGAGTGGGAGGTTTGCTCCTTAAGTTCAGCTAAGTTCAACTGGAAATAAGAGACATCTGCCTTTCCCATTCTGCTCCTGAAGAGATCAGAGCCGTAGCGCAGACCTGTGTGACAGATTGCTTCTGCTGTAGCAGCGCTGAGGGAAGGCTGCTCTGCGATGGGCTTTGGTGAGTCAGTGTGTCTGTTTACTCGCAGACAGCAGGTCCTGGTTTGCCTGGCTCCGCCAGCCCCGGTGGTACCGGCTGCCGCCGCGTCCAAACAGGGGCAGGGGTGGTCCCGGCTGCCGCTGCGTCCAAACAGGAGCAGGCAGGGGCTGGCCTGCTGCCAGGGGTTTCACTCCTGTGCGCGCTGGCAGAGGTAAGTGGTGAAATGCTGTGGAGACTGGTCTTGAAGCAGCATGTTCTGCTGCCGTAGCACAGCTACAGTGGCTCTGGGACTTCCTCGTAGCAAAGGTTTGCCCGCTTGCTGCACTGCCCAGAGTGACTTGCAAGACTCTTTTCCACCTCCGCACTGATCGGCCGGTCTGCGTCTGTCCCGTAGCGGTGGTGCGTTACTCTGCAGTAGCTCTGCAGAGGTCTGCAGCAGCATGCTTGTGTTCTACAAGGGCTGTCCTGAGGTTTTCTGAAGTTCATTAACAATTTTGTAACGTTGGTGTCATTCTAGTGACTTTGGGTGAGAGTGGCCATCTGCCTTGCTCTCTTCGGGTTGATTGTTCCATGCTCCTGGGAGTACCATGAGAACAGCAGGGCCTTACCCTGGGGAAGAGATTATGATGTCCTCCTTAGTTTTACATTAATTGGCTCGGCTCTCATTAAAAAAAACCTGCTTTGGGTACTTTTTTGTAAAGCTACTTGAGCCACAGTGAAGTAAGCGTCCAGCCGCAAGGGGTGAATAGCAGAAGGTGGACTTGGTGTCCGTTGCCTGCGGATTTGGCTCTGTAAATGAGGGAGGTGGGTGTTGCTTTTTGTTCCTAGGAGTCCCAAAACCTTCCCCAGGACTTCTGGCTGCGTCTGCCCCATGTTACGGAGCAGCCCCCTGGGGTAGTGTGGTGCTGTGATGCTCTAATTGATGTAGCAATCTCTTTTGAGGAAGGTGTGGCTCTGAGAGGCAGCAGTTAGATGGATCTCTTGGCATGACTATTAACGGTGCCTCTGCTTACAACTGCTGTATGATCTGCTTTGCTTAGGCACTAGCTGATGATGGATTTTGTAGCTGTTAAATTAAAGATAATTGCAGGCTTAGGAGGGCTGTGTGGTGACTAGCGGGGGGGGGTGTGGAATATGCGCAAGCAAAATGTGCAATGGAGATTAGCATTATAGTGGTGGGATCTATGAGAGCTGTAAACCAAAAACGGAACCTTTCTTCTCCTGGCTGGCCCGGATCCTCAAGGGGATAAATCATGTCTCTTGGCGTCTGCATCTAGGCTGAGGCCTTTCCTTAGGGGTGCAGGGGTTTGGCTGGAAACGGCTTGGAGGTGCCGAACCGCCTCGTACTGATCTAGGCAACAAGGAGCTGGCTGGCCCTGCGGTAGCACTGGAGGCAGGAGCTGCGTTGGGGGTGAGCGAGTGAGCCGAGTGGATTCCACTAATGCCCGAGTGCTGATGCTGGTCTCCGAGAGCCTCCCCGTAGCTCTTGAATGAAAACATGCCTTTAATGACACGGTTAAAAAAGGAAAAGGCCTGACAGCAGTTGTTCCCATGACAACAGAAAGAATTGCCTGCAATATTTCAGCTCATCAGCCTGGAGAACAGTCTGATTGATAGTTACAGACGCGTGGTAGAGAGGTAGCAGAAGAGGGGAGGCCAATTATATCGCGTTTTCCTTGTCCTTGAATGCCTGTGGCCACAGCAACTGTGGAGGGCGGTTTTTCCTTGCTTTTTGTTGGTTTTTTCCAAGTGAGAATGACCTGTGTGTCCCTTGGAAGTGCCTGTGCAACCTGCCAGCCATGGATACATGACCCTTGCTGTCATAGGCTCTCTGGTTCAAAGACTCTGCTGTGTGTGCAGGGAATATGGACATTTGGCTCCTTGATTGGTGATTAGCAAATAGTTAATTACAATATAGAGAATATCTTGGAGAGGGAAGAAGTGAATTTGAGCACATGCTTCCAGTATAAATGATCTGCACTCGGGACTTTCCCCTCTTCTCAGACTGTCTGATGAATGTCTCAAAGGCAAGATGCTTGTGGCTTCAGGAGAGTAACAGAATGATTTGGGCTTCCGGAAACCCACGGTGGGTTCAGTGCATCTCCCCCCAGAGCACTCCCGGGCTTGCCATCTCTGGGACGTTCACACGATGAAGGGGTGGGTGGTCAGGTTCTGCCCTGGCTCTGCTTTGCTCAGAGTGGAGTAGGAAGGGGAGCGTGTGATGGAGGAGCTGCCAGAAGAGAGGGGCGGGTAAAGGTGCTGTGGGAGAACACGAGAAGACAAAGCCACGGGTCTGGGAAAAGCATTCCCAGATCAGAGTTTTGCTGAGCTCTGGGGACAGCACAGCTCTCGGGTGGAGCAGAAGGCCCTGCCAGCACAGGGCGGTGGGAGGGAGTGTTATGCCGCCTGGGGAAGCTAAGGCTGGTGCTCTGAGGTGGTGTACCTGTCTCCCCATGGTGTTTGTACTCTGGGTTTTGTCTGCAGTAACCTTCTTTGAAGGCAGCTCACTTTAGTTGATTTTCATGGCACGGTTGCCAGCAGGGTTTCCCTTTTTCCTGGGTAGCGATTAAAAATCAAGTCAAAGACTAAGATGGCGTGATCTCTTGGAAAACGTTGTTCCCTCTACCCCCAGACCTTACCCATTGCAGACTGCAGCTCGTCATCCACTTTGGTCAGGGCTGCTCAGAAGGAGCCTTGTCCAAGAGGCCCTTAGCTCTGCCTGGGACGTAGGGTGCTTCTCCAGGGCCATGAGACAGAGCCGCAATGCTGACTGCAGCCCCCCCAGGCAGCAGCAGCCACAAGCTGTACCTTAAACCTGGACAGCAGCATGTGGCAAGCTCAGGATAATTGTCGGAGTGTGCTTTCTAAAGTGTTTGCTGAGTCTTGCTGGCTTCTGTAAAGAGCTGATGGTGAGCTCTTCCAGAGAAGCTTGGGAGCAACGGTGAGCATGCTGTGCCGCACACAGCACCGTATCGCTGTAGCATGCGCTTACTTCCCCAAATAGGACAGGGAGTCACAATCACAGAGCTTTTGGACGTGCTCTTTAAACACGCCGTAAAGCGTGGGAAGTACAAAGCCAGCTGGGTGTTGCAGAGAATGTGCTGCAACCCCAAAGGAGAACGCCTGCCCCGGGAGAAGGGCCTCGCTGCTGGCAGGAGCCTGTGCGTGCCACAGAGGAGCATGCTTGTGCCTGACCAGGAATGGTCCTGACTCCGGAGGAGCTGTGGAGCCAGGAGTTCAGCCTTAATTCCATGATCACGCTCCTTGAAGGAGCTGTGTACTTCTTCATGTTGGGCTTGATCTATTGCCAAAGAGAGTTTAAAGTAAATTCAACTTCAGCCAGTACCCACTGGTAGGACTGTAGCATTCTGGGATTAATAGCCGTTGGGAAATGTATTTTGGGGAAAATATTTGAGAATGAACATTGAATGTTCCCTTAAAAATAGATCCCCAGAGACAACAGATGCCAGATTGCTGCTCATGAGGGAGGCTGTTCTCCCTGGCTCCTGTTGTGGTTTCTTGATGATGCTTTTGCTTTGGAATATGAGCAGAAACATTCAAAATAGAAACATTGCGATGTGATAAAATGGAACAAACCTACAAGAATCTGTGATGCTCTGTCATCTCTCCCTGGGATATGTAAATGATGCCTTTTAAAGTGGTTTGAGTATATATGCAGCCCTCCTTGCGTTAATGCTCTTGTTGCAGGCTGTGGTCCCTCTACTGCAATTCTGTTTGCCCTCACCTGCAGCTCCGTAACTGCCCTGGTGCTGCTGGGGTGACACTTACCTTTGCACCCAACTGCTCGTACCCCACGAACGCTGACACTCTGTGTCCAGTTCCTCAGGGGACGTGGCTGCCACTGATGTGTGTCACCTTGCCTCCCCCCACCCTTTTCATCCCTCATTTCCTGGCTTTTAGTCTGCAGCATCCTACTGGGGGGAAAATGGACCTTAGGAGAGACACCATTAGTAGGTAATAGTCATTGGCACAGTAATCATCCCCCATAATAGCCACGCGCAATCTGTGCCTGGTCACAGCACGCTGCAGTCAGCGCTGTGTCGGGACTCAGTAGGGAGGCTGGGACCTGGGGGACGCTATCTGGAGATGAGGAGGAAGGACTGGGGGGAGCTGCTGCTGCTGCCTGGGGAAGAGCCCAGGAGAGGCTGCTCATCTGCAGAGACCCTTTACTTCTCTTCCCAGCTGGCTGCGGGGGAGTTTTCCCATCTCTTTCTTTTTTTCTGCCTCTCCTTTTATTTTTCTTTTTTGCTTCCTTCCCCTAAAGGTAACTTGGTACTGTTAGTCTGTCTGCCATCAGTTACGGATCCCAATAATAAGTCCTTGTGGATGAAAGGGTATCTCAGTGTCCTCTGTGCAACAATAGGATTTTTTTCCAAAATGAAGGTGCACATGGTGGCTTCAAGCCAGAGGCTAAAGAAGCCTGCAGACCAGGCTGTGGAGTGGCCTGGAGCAGGGATGAATTTCTGTGTATATGAACTGGACATCTTGTGTGTTGTTTCTGTAACTTTCTCCCTCTCTTTATCAGACAAGCTCAGAGTCTCTGTTGGACCCTCAGCAAATCCAAGCTTTTGACCAACTCTGCCGGCTCAACCGAGGAACCTCCAGAGTACGTACCACCTGTTTTCCTTTTGGTTTTAGATCAGTGAAGGGTATTTCGCGTGCTGCCAAGCCAGATATTAGCACTGGCAGTGTGGGTTTCGGCTTTTCCCTTGGGTTTTCGTTTAGTGCTGGGGATTTACTGTGCCTAGAGCTGGCTGTTTCACATCACAAGGCATCCATGCTGCCTCTGACAGAGCTGGGGAATCACTGGCAGTGAAACCATCGAAATGCCTCTGGCTTTGAGGCTGGGCGTGAAAAGTGTCCGTGGTGTGAGGTTTCTCAAATTCTTTTTCAATTTACAAATGACCTCCCCTCCAGCCACTGTGTGACTCCCACGATTGCACAGAAGGGTCCCTCCTCCTGCCCCCGCTGTTGTCCCAAGAAGAGCAGCTCCTTCTGTCCCTTGTGTTTTCCTTGTGCCTCCTGCCTGTTTGGGCTGCAGTTGTTGGCACTTTCACCTCTTTCTGGGATTGTTTTTCAGTGATGTAACTTTTAAAACAACTTAGACACCTGAAAGTTGTTTGGTTCAGGACTGTTGTCCTGCACTGAGCTCTAATAGGGTCACTATACCCTTTTCTTTACATGTTAGGGTTTGTCTAATTGCTGCAGGAAGAAGGTGAGCCGCCCATGAGTGCTTTGTCTTTCCGCACCTTGCACGAGCGTTTCTAGGCAGTCTGCCCAGGCCACTGGACAGTGATCTGTCTGGGTTTTGTCTTGCAGCTAGCTCTCCTGACAGAACTGTCTCGCGGCCATGGCAGTGAAAAGCATGGGCTGCTCAGCGTTTCCCACGGTGACCCGGCCACCAGCAGTGTCTTCCAGAATGAGAACTTCCAGCTCCATCTGGCCCCCCCTCCGCTGGCTGAAGACTAGTGCTCCTGCCTCCAGCTGCAGCAAGGCCACAGTTGGTTTCAGCTCTTGGTGCTGGGAACCCTTTCCATCACAACGCTGGACTTTCCCCCCACCCTCCGCCACCTATCCCCGAACCCTCTGTGCCATGTTGGCTTGCTGGGCGCTGGTGGATTTGTAGCAGCGGCTGATCTCCCGACTCTGCTGCCTTTTCTCACGAAAGAGAGGCAGCCACGAGGCAGCTGGGCTGAAAGCTGTGAACTCTGGGGGCAAACCCAAGCATGCCGAAGCACTGCGCAAGACCTGGGCTACCTGCAGTGACCCGGAGGCGCACGGCAGTGGTGGTAACTTTGCCAAATAACAGAGTTGGCTCCACTCCATTGGAAGAGTGTGGCCTGTCCTGTGCCCAGCGGCTCTATTTCACGGTGGCTACCATACCAGATTTTAATTGTTGTACTGGTAAAAGCAATCATTTTGCCAAGGCCTGGCCTCACTGTCTCTGAGGGCACAGAACAGGCAAACTTTGAAAAGGCTGAAGAATGCAGAAAACAATACATGTGTGAGCAAACTAACCTGCGCACGGTGTGTTCCTACAAACTTCCATTAAAAAGGCCCTTGGTTGAACTCTGCTGCGTGAGCTGTGCACACGGGGAGTGGGTAAGAGAGCTGCTGGTCTGGCAGTGCTGCTGGCTGCTGTTTTCTTAGTGCAATTGCCACTGAACTCTGGTAGAGAAAGATGCAGCTTGTCACTGGGGGTGAAGCACAAACCTCCCCCCTCGCCTTGTTGTACCTGTGTTGGGGGACAGGGGTGCGTGTGTATGTGTGTGAAAAGGCACTGCAGGCCCTTGAGGGCTGCAAGGGGAGAGGGCCGGTGTGGTGGGCGCTGATGGTCAGATGTTTGTTGCTTCTAAGCCCAACCCGCTGTTTTGCAATACCCAGCTGGGCAGTGTCCCTTCCCAGTGGCACCTTTATCGCTTTGCGCACACAACTGTTACCCAACGGCAGTGGTGTTTCTGTACCCGGCTTGTGAAACACACTCCTAACAATGTGTGTCATTGGTCTGGTGATCGTGCTCTCTCCTCTCCCCACTGTTCATTTTGTCACTAGGACTTGGGTGTTTGGGCGTACCCTTGGGGGTACCCTTGGGGTCCCAGGCAGAGCACAGCACCAGGTAGGTGCTGCTCTCCGTGCACGCAGAACTGATGTGCAGAGCAGATGGCAGAGCTCACGTTGGGTGGCAGGGATACGGGGCAGCGCTGCTGCCTCCAAGGAACACAAAAGCGCTGGCTGTTGTGCAGAGCCTACCTGGCTGGGGAGCAGTGCCAGCCCTGTGCCCCCTGGGGCTTGGCGTGCCCACCTTCTCCCCATGAGCATTAAGAACTACAAAATGGTGCCCCGGACTGATGTTTCCAGCCTGCAGCCACACATGAACCTGGTGAGAGGTAAGTCAAGGGGCTCCAGCCAGCTGAATTCTGCCAGACGTCAGCCTGGGCTTGCAGCCCTCTTCCCCGCTATCCTCCCCCCTGACTAGGGCAGCTCTTTTACTGGCAAGTGAGAACTGGGCTGTGAGGTTGCCCGCCAGCCCCAGTACTTACCAGGTGCCCAGACATGGTGGGGATGGGCCTGGTGCGCTCCACCTGGTTATTCTATTGCTCTGCCTAGCACTGGGTGCCTGTTTGAGGTGCTGCCATCTGAAGCCGTAAATGACCCTTCCTTTGCTGGAAATATAAGAATGTTTCACGCTAGTATGGAAAATACACAGTTAGGACAAGCAGCGTTTCAGTTGTTCAGTATTTTATTAAAGAGGAAATATACACACCTCTCCCTGGCAGAGTGGAGCAACGAGCCCAGGGTACGTCTCTTACAGCATGTCCATGCCAGTGTTTGTGCAAAGAAAGAAATGGTGGTTCTGAACTGGGGTGTGTGATGGAGCACAGTGAGAAACCTGCCACTGTGCCGGCTGCTGAAACGCCCTGTCCCACACCAGGCTGCTCCACTGACGTTTTACAGGTACAACAGAAGGAAGAGGCAGCTTATTGTGCTTAAGACATCTGAACAAATCCTGGGTAGGAGACACTCACAGCTTGTGAATATTGCTAATCACTTACAGTTAAGAAAGAACGTATCCTGACGACAGTGATATGAACCTGCAAGACCACAGGATCTTATGGTAAGTCTTGGTCATAAATACCCAACCAAATTTCACTACGCTCACAGCCGGTGCCCCCTAACAGCAGGAGGGCCTTGTGGACAAGGTGAGCTCCTGCCAAGTCAGAGGGTCCCGATGGCCTTTCCTGTGCTTGGTTCCGCGCAGTGAGAGCTGCGGAGGAGCACCCTGTCCTCGGGAAAGGCTGGTCCCTGAGGAGGGTGCGTCTGTCAGCCCACCCCGTCCTCCCGGGAAGGAAGAAAGCTTGGGCAGGCCAGGCACGGAGTGAGCGCTCTCAGCTCTCCACTCAGATTATAATTGAAAGATTAAATATGAATAAATGCTGTAGGCTTATATATAATGCTTCCTTCCACCTATGAAATGTGTCTGAATGGTCAAAAGACACTAAAATGTTGTTAGAAACCTTAGTTAACCAAGAAAGACAACTCTGCCCTTAAAAAATAAATAAATCCTATTTAGTTTTACTACGGCCTTCATTTAAATGCCCTCAGTATTTTTTAGGTGCCTTGTGAGAATGTATCTGTTCATGCAATGGCCCGAGTTCCTCATTTAACAAGCATTGCACTTTAAGTCATCAAAACTATAAAACCTATTATTTTTGTCTGAAAGTGTTAGTCTAAAAAGTACAGTATTACTTTAACCATTTATGGTAAATTCCTAGCACACGCGCATGTGCGCAGACACACACTGTTGCCTAAACGTTTTCTAAACATACTGATTACAAAGTGTATAAAATTAGTAATACGTTGTCAGGATACGGTGAGAGTGATGAGCCATCCTATAACACAGACTATAATCTAGTATCAATCACTAAACTGTACACATTTATACAGCCTTATATTCACCAGTGACTTTTGAAACGTAAACAGCAAATACACAAAGAAATTCAGTAATGCTGTCGAAAACACAGTTATTACTGACTCCAACTGATTCAAGCTGACTGAAATCTTCTGAGAACGAAATTTTTGTTCTGTCAAGCTGGGCTGAAACCAAACCACCAGCGACACAGCTCGCTGTTAGCAGCTCTGTGAGGAAACCCCTGTTCAGAATCCACTCTTGAACTGGGCGCAAAGGAGCGGGAGCCAAAGCTGCTTCTCTCTGCTAGAATGCCCTTAGGCTGTATTTGAACAAGCACACGCGCTACTGAGCCCGTGGGCCACCTCCCGCGGGCACCTCCGTGCTGTCCCCAAGCTCTGCCGACACAGTGGTGTGGCTGATAAAATTCTTTTTTTTTTAATTTTGTTTTATTCAGGCAAATGCAGGCCCTGAGGCCGTTTGGTCCTGAGCGCGCATGTCTGGCACCAAACAGCACAGGAGGAAGCAGCAGGCAAAGCCAAGGGTGGATTTTGTGTGTTTGGAGGTAGTCACTTCCTTCGCCTATCGCTTTACACCCCAGTCTAGCACGGTTTTGGTTAGATGGCCGCGCTTCATCTCTGCCTGCTCCCCCTCCTGCCGAGCTGCAAAAGCCAGATCCCCTTCCCGAGATCTATCTAGAGAAAAAGGACCAGCTGGATCCAGGCAACGGATCCCCCTCCAGAGCAACGCTTGCCTTCTCAGGAGACTTCAGAGCCTGACCTAACTCAGCAGATGCTCGGTGCATAGCCTGGAGAAAAGTTGGAGGCACTTTGTGCATTCTCTAGCCTGCCATACCAACCTGCTGGAAGAATGGTGCCAACAGCCTTCGAGAAGGGTCGCACCAGCACTAGAGAAAAGGACGGACAATGTGCAAGGACAGACAGAGACGGAAAGAGCCTCTTGTCGCCGCACCTCGCGTAGCTGTTTGAGAAAGAATAAGGGCAACTTGGTTTTGCTGCTCACAGGCGTGCTGCACCAGCTCACCCTCTGTGCTTTGAAGGTCCATTGCAAACATCCTGACAGATGGAAACATCTCGAGTGGCGCATCCGTGTATGAGAAGTAGTATGTGATGTAACCCAGACCAAGAAAAGGGCCTATTTCAGCTATAAAAGTCTTAAGATTTATCACTACCTTACGTGCAGACGTGGGAGATCTGATCAGGCTGAGAACTTGTTAAAATTGCTCAGGCTGCTGCTAGTTCACCAATATGCAAGTCCCGTGACCGCACTCCCATGAGGAATCTGAAATATCAAGTGCACTGGAAAAAAGGGATTGTCAGAAAAAACAGAAAATATAAATACTACAAAAGCAACATTACTGAGTGGGAACTGGACTCATCTGATACCAACTTGTCGGATCACACAGTGGTTTCTATAGTCTCAATCACTTCCATTTCGCACTGCGAGGGTGACAAGAGTGGGCATTCATCTGGTTCCCAGCTGCTATCCGGGCTGTAATCTTCCTCTGAACTTAGCTCGGCCACCCCCTCCGTGTCCTCGTCACACGACTCCATGTAGTGAACCCCCACTGCATTGATCCCGGAGTCCTCGGAGCTGGAAGGGGATGAGCAGTGATCTGTTTTTGGTGTATTGCTCTCTTTTGTGATTAAGGCATTGCGAACAGGGACCTCCTCGGGCTTTATCTTGTGGGGCGCGGGGGGAGGCTGCCTCTGCACGTAGCACATCTTCCCGTTGATGCATTTCACGCGGTAATTGTCAATGAAGAGGTCTGCGATCGTGCAGAACTGCGGGGAATCGGGGGGCAGAGGGGGCTGGAAGACAGGCGCAAACTTCAAAAAGTGTTCGGTGAGCGAAACGGAGATCTGGATGGTGTTTGTAGACTCCCGAGGGCGAACGGGTATTTCGGTGCTGGGAAGCTGCTCCACAGGTGTCATGGGCTGATAGACATATTTACCTGTGGGGAAACCAGAAAAGCAGCATTTAAAGATCGTTATCTTTAAGTTAGAAACAAACTGATGACACGGTGCTTGCCCTTGGCTGT